ATAATGCTACTAATAATAAAGTTGAGACCAAGATGAAAAAAGCTGTTAATCTTGGGTGAGAACGAGATACTTATTAGACTTAAGTTGTTGACTATTTATTAAATTGACAAAGAATATGCATGAAATGTTGGAACTATATTATTGAAAATTGTATGAAAATGACAAGGTGGAGGATTAGAGGAAATGAAGTAATGCAATTTAGGGCGTAAGAATGAACAAAAAAAATTTCCGATAATCCAAATGACAGGAGAAATACAGAGCATGTGAAGATGTGGATAGGAAAATAGCTTGCTACAGATTTCTTTAACATAAGAGATTGGTGTATAAAACATTAAAACATAAAACAAAAATCAAGTCAACTTATACTTGAACTTTAAAACTCGGCTCAAATATTCCTTCTCCTACAAAACCTTTATCCATCCCTGCAGAAAGTGTTGGTGGTTCCCTCCTAGGCTGCCAGCTCCCAGAGCATGTTGAATACTAATTATCTTTGTATATCGTTCTTCTCGACTAGAATGAGAGTCTAAAGATGAGGGAAACTTCCTCTTCCTAGGTGCCTCTACTTGCCACACAGTAGGTGCTCAAGGATGTTTTTTAATACACACATGAATAAAACATGAGCTCATCAGGTCTCTAATTTCTTTAAAGTTGGTTTTGTGACCGTTTCGTGTCAATTTGCACAATTGATTGCAATCTAATACACATAGAGCTTGATTTTGAAATGAAAAAGGAGAGTTCTTGAGAAGAAAAGGTTAAAGTAAGAAATAAAGCTTATGTTCCTCCTCAATTAAATTGGCTTTCAAATAGAGGAAGAGCAAGTCAAATAGTCTAACGCAGTTCTATTCAATAGAGAAAAGATTAAAGATAGAAGAATTTAAAAATTACTGCCAACTGAAGCCAAAAACAGAGCACCAAATAGTCTCCTACACTCATAGGAAAAATCAGGCAGCTTCTCTAGGCAGGACATGGAGTGCTAACCCCGTGTCCTTTGCTGACAGAGCCCTAAAGCATCACCACCAGATCACTGTCCCCGGAGGTCATGATGGAGATTGTGTCAGCACCAAAATTAACTACCAGCAGATCATACCGTGAAGAAAAAAAGCTTTAGACAGGCCTGATACTTTAATATACAGCCCCTCTTTAATCCCTTTTAATGTCATCTGATAAAAAAGATGAGAAAAATCCAACAAGAGACAAAGTAAAAATGGTCCAAAAGAGATTAACATGAGAATTAGAGAATTCCTATTACAAATCTCATCTTTCATTTTACTCCGAGTCCCTATCAAAAAGTACAATTTAAATCAATGAAAGCAGTTTAGACTAATATTCGTGTAAGGGGCTTTTAGTAAATACTAGGATGTTTATAACTCTCTTATAGCAAGAGAGAGGAGAGATTGAAAGAGAAAGAGGGGGGACAAGGATGAGAGAAAAGGAGATCAGAGAGAAAAATTATATTTTTCTGCCTACTTCCTTATGAGCTGCTCTTTCATTTCATTATATATGGGCTTACCTAAAGGTGAACTATACTCCCTTTCTGAATGCTGTAATCTTGGAAACCAAATTATAAATTTTGGTGGAAATGTATAAAATAAGAAAAAAAAAATAGTTGCCTCAGGCTCTTACTCATTGTATACTATATATTTCTGTGATGGACTTTAGCATTTAGCCTTCCGGCTCAGGGGCCCCTTAGTTCTTACTCCTTAATTCTTGGCTACAGCTTACAAAGATCAGTCAACTGAGGTTCAGATAAATGAAATGCTTTACAGCCAACTGAAATATCCTAAAATTTTATCTAGAATTTTCAAAATCAAGTGATATGCCTGATAAATAATTTCTTAAATGTTTATTGCACATTGAAATTGTGAAACTTAAGGGACCTTTCCTATCTAACTGTGCTCAAGGCATGGTTCTGTGTGAGTGAAATCAAGAATTTTATGGACTGAATAACATTTCCCTTCATATCCTCCAATGTTTACCAAACTAGAAAAAATAGTAAAAGTGTATATGATGGTATTCAAATATGACATATACATGGTATGCTAGGTATGAATTTAATGAGATTCAGATTGTAAGTTCCCAGGAGGCATGAACCAACATTATCTTTCTGTGATCGATGTTTAATATTGAATTTATGGACACACCAAATCCAAGCTCTTCAACCACAAGGGTTGGCAGAAGGACCTCTGAGTTTTTTAGCATCGACAAGAGACTTATTTTCCAGGTATAGTGTTACGTATGTCCTTTCCCATTTATAAACACAGTTCCACGGTACTGCTCTTTCAGTGATCATGCTTCTCCTCCGGTGACAGATGTGATCCAGTCCCCGTAGGCAGAAATTATGGAGAAGACCGTTGGTGCGGAGGGGTGGCAGTTACTGCTGCTCCAGCTAACAATACCCATGAGCTTGTACCGCCCGTCCTGGGTGCACTGCAGTGGTCCTCCAGAATCTCCCTGCAACCAGCAAAAAGAGCAGTTCTCCTGGCTGCGTGATTCATGGTTGATCATGCTAACCCCAACTGCAGAGGATGATCAGACAGGGCATGACTCTCTCTCTCATCTCTGATTTCTGCTCACAACAGCATAGGGAACTAGGGCCACTCAGGTAGTTGGCTGATGTTACAGATCTCTGAATCAGATCAAAATCTATATTTTTAAGGAGAGGCTGAAAGCTACATTTAGCATAAATTCATTTAATGCTGACAATACACTGTGCCATGCAGAAAGTTTCACGTATCTACTAAATATAAATGATGGTTTTGAGTTAGATGAAAACATCTTTATATTTTCAGTGCTACTAGAAGTAGGTACTTTGAGCTTCCTAATTCAGCTATGATGTCAAACCATAAGAAATCACTCTTTTGTAGGTCAAAAACAGTTGAATATCATCAATTTCACATAGTTCAACCAAGCAAATGAACGAGTAATTCCTTTTGAGGACTGAGTCCACTTCAAATATCAAATTAGCAATCACATTGCATCAATTTAGCAATGTACTTATTCTTCTCACTTTTAATTTTAAAACTAGCATATGTTTTATACCTCTTTATGGTCAGCAGACACCCATTCATGAGACACACTGAGAAGAAACCTCCTGCACTCATCAACACAGTCCTTGAATTACCATGCATGAGGATGATCCTGCAGCCCCTCCACATACATTGGCGTTTTTAATATCCAGTCCCCAGTAACTTTGACAAGATGTACTACTGATCAGTGGTACCTCTCCCTGTTGCACAGTTTTAGGAAATTCATCTTCTAATAGAAAAAGAATAAAAACACAAACAACCTAGGCAAATGCTTTTAAAGGATAAAATAAAAATAGCCGCACGTATAAACAGACTCCAAGGGTTAAATCTCACCTGTTCTCTCTCAGCACTGTAATGATACTATTAGGTGATTTGTAAAAAACTAATATTAAAAAGCTACTTCTGGGCCGGCTCCATGGCTTGGCAGTTAAGCCCTTACGCTCTGCTGCTGGCGGCCCAGGTTCAGTCCCGGGCGCTTACCGACTCACTGCTTCTCTGGCCATGCTGAGGCCACGTCCCACATACAGCAACTAGAAGGACGTGCAGCTATGGCATGCAGCTATCTGCTGGGGCTTTGGGGGAAAAAAATAAATAAAATTAAAAAAAAGCTACTTCTGGGGCCATCCAGGTTGCACAGTGGTTAAGTGCATGCGCTCTGCTGCAGTGGCCCAGGGTTCACAGGTTCGGATCCCAGGTGCACACCGACGCACTGCTTGTCAAGCCATGCTGTGGCGGCGTCCCATATAAAGTGGAGGAAGATGGGCATGGATGTTAGCCCAGGGCAAGTCTTCCTGAGAGAAAATAAATAAAAAGAGGAAGATTGGCATCAGATGTTAGCTTGGGGCTGATCTTCCTCACCAAAAAAAAAATAAAAAATAAAAAAATAAAAAGCCACTTCTCCACAGTGGCTTATACAACAGAAACAACAAAAAACATTTCATGTGGGTTCTTTTGTCTTTAGTACAGTTCTAAGAAGATAGAAAAATAATATCACTTTATAGAAGGAAAAAGATAAAGCTTACACTCAAATCAGTTGTTGTAAAGCAAACAATATAATCCATGTTTTACATGTTAAGTCTATACTTTATTCCATTGGTTTCATGGTACCCTCATTCTTTTGACTTTTGCTGAAGAGACATCACCTTTAGGTGCTAACACTGTCTGGAGGCTGACAAATTGAAACTGCATTCTGATTTACTCTTTGGTTTATTGGATATATGTAACTTGTTAACTCAGTTGTAGAACACAGTGGAAGTGAGACCAGAGTCATGGGTTTGATCTTTGTATGGATTCTTTCCACTTCATCTTTTTACCCATTTACCATTTATACCAGCCTATCATTTCAGAAAAATGCCTCACATCTTTGGGAATAGGCTCAGATTTTCAAGTATGGGTTTTCACAGTAGCAGCATCTATAGTGTTGTGAAAACAATTGTATGTGTGAGTACGTGTGTTCACAGTGCAACTGGGGAGTAATTACATATAAATGAGACAGAAATATTTATTAGGTAATAAAATCACTAGATATTCTCCAACACAAGTTTTTACAAGTATCAATGAACTAGTATTTATGAATCTGATGGCCTAAAATCCAAGCAGTCACCTTTATTTTTTTTTTTTTTTTAAAATGTCTTTTTTTTTTTTTTTTAAAGATTTTATTTATTTTATTTTTCCCCCCAAAGCCCCAGTGGATAGTTGTGTGTCGTAGCTGCACATCCTTCTAGTTGCTGTATGTGGGACTCGGCCTCAGGATGAACGGAGAAGTGGTGCCTCGATGCGCACCCGGGATCCGAACCCGGGCCACCAGCATCGCAGCGCGCGCACTTAACCACCAAGCCACAGGGCCGGCCCCAAGCAGTCACCTTTAGATCTATTATGAAAAAGACTTTTTCCACTATCATTCCCAGTAAAAATACAGAAAAATTGAAAATAAGTAAACAGTATACTTGGACTTCACATATATTTGTTTGGATCCTAATCTTGCAAGAGGTAGTGAATATACTCATGATGTGGTTCAGTTATTCCCCATCCAGCAGTCAAACATTTGGAAAGTAAATTTATTTTATCATCTTTCCCTGGCAAACAGATTGGAGATACAAATTCTCCTAATTAAAAGGATGAAAAAGAAAAAGGCAAATATCATTTAGTCCATAGGACTGATATTAACATTGTCTCTATTGTTTGCTCTTCAGTGATGGCTCTAGAAATATCTACTTTGACCTGACAGTACCCTTTTTAACCCTGTGATTGAATAAATAAGTCTTCCAGAAGATCCCATCTATTTATTACTCAGAAGGTGTCATCCCAATGTACATGTTACCACTTTGCTCTAGCTATTTCCATATTCTCCTAGGACAATAGAAATATATGCCCTACACTGAGATGTGGGGCTCCTGATTTCTCATCCATAATCATTTTTAAAAATGCATCTGCCTTTTTGCCCATGTGCCTTCAGGATATCACCTTGTTGAATTTGAGATGGTACTGGAGAAGAATATAATTATCTTCTTTCTTCAACGATATTAAATGAGAAATGGGGAAAACCACATTTGTAGCAATTTAAACTTTTTAAGTATTTTTATATCTAATTCTATCTTCACGGGTATATTATAAAATATATTAATACATTATACATCTAAACATTCATATTTTTCCTTATCACCAGAATTTGTATATATATAAATATTGCAGGTTTATGTGTGTCTGTGTATATACACTACACACACACACACACACACACACACACACACACACACACACACTGAATGCAGTGCTCCTGTGTTTTCCCATGCTGTTTCACTTCATTTGTATCCAGATTTTTACATACTTAAGTGCTTCGGCATATCTGCTATGCCAGACCATTTATTTCAAAGATTTGTTATTTTTACTGCTATCTCTTAATAAAATCACATAAAACTCTTTATAACTTGTCTATTCTTTTCCTACTCATCTCTCTACACATGTACCAACTGGTTCCAAATCTTATGTTATGTTGCTTTCACAGATAATCATTGCTCTATCATATCATTTCCTGCCAGACTTTTTTGAGCTAAAACATTTCCCCCTACCAACATATTTTTTTAATTGGCCATTTTTCTTATTCTGATTTTCTTCACTTACTAGATTATGGTCATATCATTCATATCATTGCATATAGATCTGCCACATCATTCTTTTGAATAGCACACAGTATTCAGATAATGAATGTACTATAATTTATTAATCGCATTGGTGAACATTTAGACTAATTTTTTTTCTTTTATAAGATGCATCAAGCATCCCAGATCACACATCTGTGCATTTATGCCAGTATTCCTGGAAAATAGAACTGCTAGACCACAAGGCACACTTTAGAAATTGACAGTTATTGCCAAATTGCCTCATTTTTGGGGTAAAAAAAGGATGGATTGACTTGCACTCTACCCAGCTGTGTTTATAATTTAGAAGTATGTCAAGAATCTTGAAAACAGTTTTGCCCTTAAGCCAGCAAATCTACTTGGGGGAAATTTATCTTAAGGCAATTCTAGACCTAGAAAAATGTATACACATGGATAGTCAATCCAGCATTATTTAAATAAAAAAAAAGAAACAACCTATTTTTATAAGAATTACAGAAAGGCTACCATGTAGCTATTAAAATTATATTTTAAAAGAATCTTTAATAATATGAATCAATGCTGATAATGATAAGAGAAAAGGCAGGATAAAATAAAACTTATAATAGGTATAACAATTATTTAAATACAAACACACAGAGAAGTACAGAAAAGACAAAAAAGAAATAGGCCCAAATGTTCACATGATGGTCATGGGGAAGTGGTGGGGATGAACATCATAGGTGGAAAATTTACTGTCTGTAATGGGATAAAGGACATTTCTCACTCTTACCACTGAAAAGAAATGAATAGGTACAGATATAGACAAGCTACTAAATACTTAGGGGGAAGAGGATCTGAAAGTTTCATTGTTGTTGACATCATGTAGTGTTAAGTGGAAAGCAAGGTCCTTGGAGAAGAGGAGAAGGAATAAAGGATGGGGGTAAGTACAGAAGGGATGAAAAGAAGGGGAAATGTTTGTAATGACTGTTGTGGAAGAAAGAAACACGCAGACATGCACACAAGGATTGCTGAGTGGTACTGAAAATGGAAACCACAAGTTTTTAAGGGCATCAAACCTCACCACTGGTCTTTTTCTAGAGCAGTAGTTCTCAACCCTGGCTGCACATTAAAATTTCCAGGGGAAGTTTATCAAATCCTGATCTAGATTCAGGAAAATCCAGGATACAAGATCAACATACAGAAGTCAATTGCATTTCATGTAGAATTAGAAATTAAAAACAATACTATTTGCAATCACTCCAAAGAAAATGCATTACTTAAGTATGCGTACACTTAGCAAAACATATACAGGATCTGTAAGCTGAAAATTACAAAATTCTGGTGAAAGAAATCAAAGAAGACCTAAATAAGTAGAGAGACGTTGTGTTCATGGATTAAAAGATTCAACATAGTAAAGATGTCAATTCTCCCCAAATCGATCTATAGGTTTAATGCAATTCCTAATCAAAATCACAGCAGTGTTGTTGTAGACAGAGACAAGCTTATTTTAAAATTTAAAGGTCCGGTGGCATAGTGGTTAAATTCGCATGCTTTGCTTTGGCAGCCAATGGTTTGCGGGTTCATATCCCGGGCATGAGGAGGATGGGCACAGATGTTAGCTCAGAGGCCATCTTCCTCAGCAAAAAGAGGAGGATTGGCAACAGATGTTAGCTCAGGGCTAACCTTCTGCACAAAAAAAAAAAAAATCATATGGAAAGGCACAGGCCTTCAAATTGCTAAAACAGTCTTGAAAAAGAATACATCGGGAGGAATCTCATTCTGATATAAACCATAATATAGAGCTACAGTAATCAAGACAATGTGGTATTGGAGAAGGGATAGCCATAAGATCAACAGAATAGAGATCCCAGAAACAGACCCATGCAAATATGCTCAGTTGGTTTTTGGCAAAGGCACAAAAGCAATTCAAAGGAGGAAAGACAGCCTTTTCAACAGAAGTTTTTGGCAGAATTGGACATCCTTAGAGGGAAAAAAAAAGAACCTTGACCCAAAGCTTAAAGCTTATACAAAAATTAACTGAAAATGGATCATGAAGTTAAATGTAAAACATAAAACGTTTAGAAAAATAATAGGAAAAAGTCCTCAGCATCTATGGCTAGGTGAAGAGTTCTTAGACTTGACACCAAAAGCATAATCCATAAAAGGAAAATGGAGAAATTAGACTTCATCAAAATTAAAATCTTCACTTTGTGAAAGACCCTGTTGAGAGGATGAAAGACAAGCTACAGAATGGGAGAAAAATATTTGCAGTCCACCTATCTGATAGAGGACTAGTATCAAGAATCTTTCAAGAATTCTTAAACTCTACAATAAGAAAAACAATTCAATCAGAAAATAGGCAAAAGAGATGAAGAGACATTTCACATAAAAAATGGCAAATAGGCACATGAAGAGAGGTTCAATATTATTAGCCATTAGGGAGATGCAAACTAAAATTACAAGATATCACTACACTACACACCTATCAGATTGGCCAAAAAATAAAAAATAAAATAATAGTGACAACAGCAAATGCTGGTCAGGATGCAGAGAAACCAGATCACTCATACATTGCTGGTAGAATGTAAAATGGTACAACAACTCTGGAAAAACAGTTTGGCAGTTTCTTATAAAACTAAACATGCAACTACAAGATGACCTAGCAATTGACTCTTGAATATTTACCCCACAGGAATGAAAACTCATTTCTGTTCAATTTTGTTTACACACAAACCTTTACACAAATGTTCATGGGAGCTATATTTGTAACATCCAAAAGCTGGAAACAACCCAGATGTTCTTCAGCAGACAAATGGTTAAAGAAACTGTCTATGAATGGTTAAACATCCATACCATGGAATACTACTCAGCAGTTAAAATGAGTGAACCTCTGATGTACACAATGATATGAATAAATGTCCAGGCTGTTATGCTGTGTGAAAAAAAGTCAATGCCAAAAGTTTACATGCCATATGATTCCATTTATACAACACTTGAAATGACAAAATTATAGAAATAGAGAACAGACTAGCGGTTGACAGAGGTCTGGGGGGAAGGTGGAGTGGGGAGGAGGAAGATGAGTGTTGCTGTAAAAGGGCAACAGTACAGATCCTTGTGGTGATAGAAATGTTCTGTATCTTGACTGTATTAATGTCAATATCCTGCACAATGTTACCATTGGTGAAAACTGGGGAAAAGTACATTGGTGTCTCTGTATTATTTCCTACAATCACATGTGAGTCTACAATTAACTCAACATAAAAAGTTTAACTAAAAATAAATTTAAAAAGGAGGATAAGGAGAAAAAAAATACTGATGTCATTTTTCCACTCCTGAGATGGTGATTAATTGGTCCAAAATGCCTTCTGGACTACAGTTTTTTGTTTTAAAAGCAACTCATGGAATTATAATGCACAGCCAAGGTTAAGAAACATTGTTCTGGATGCTCTCACTGACTCAGTTATAAAAGCACAAAAAGCAAACTTTTGATTTGCTGGGAGGGGGGGTTGCAGGATGGATGCATTGTAAAGACATCAAAATGGAGATGAGGCTATTGGCAGAGGAACAGTTGAAGAATGCAGAAACTCAGGAGAGAGTCGGAGTAAAGCAGGAAAACTGGCGGAGAGCCCTGTGATTCTGTGGAAAGGTGTGGGTGTGAATGGGGGGGCTATCTACAGGCATTCTTTGAAATCTTCTCTAGACCTCCATCAATTAAAAACACACACAAGCAAAATGTTTATGCAGGTACTTCAGCTTTTAGAGAAAGTATCTTAGAGTATAAGAAAGTTCTGAAATAATTATTTAACTTTGAAAGTACATACAGTAGTTCTAAGCAAGATGGAAGATAACTGTACAGCAGAGGTTCCAAATATGGAAAAAAAAGTTATCCATACTGACCTAGTTCAACGGGTTTTTCCAGATGCAACAAGGAGAGATCCTCATTAGGAGGAAATGGTGTGAAGCCGGGGTGAGCGTACACAGCTTTCACTGGCAGCAAATCACTATTCCTCATGTTCGAGAGGTAACTTCTTCCTATTACCAGGTTGTCTGTGACAGTACTTGTCATAAGAAAAGGGAGTGGAGAAACAAATACCACTTTTAATGAAGCCATAATTTTTCAAAATTACTAGAAATATATTTAACATTTCTAATCAACATTAAAATCTTTATTATCTTGAATTCTTAGAAAATGGGGATTTCTCATTAATTCAACCCTTCAGAAAAATTTTAAAGTATCTACTGTCTTGCCTTTGTAACATCAAACAAAATGATTTAGTATTTCTTTGATGATTAAAATTCATGATACCTCAAGGTAATGATTCTACGTGTTATTATAATCATAGTATTATACATTATATGATTATATGATGTACTTACATAAGTCATTGAAAGCTATTCTGAAAGTTATAGTTACTCCCTAATATGTTTCTCAAAGAAATGTCTAGGGATCACATGCATTAAATCTGGCATGTGCATTAAAAATGCAGAATCCCAGACAGAACTCATCAAATCAAAATTCAGAATTAAGATTCTAAGATTCCATTTATAGCAAACTTCCCAGGTAATTCTGAGCACATGAAAGTCTGAAAACTGCCTCAATTAGGATGCCTTCTTTTGATCCATCTATATCAAAAGTAAGAGTTGGGGGATGGTAAAGAAAATTAGTTTTTGATTTTTTGAAGGTTCCTGCTCACCAAGTTATTTGAGCAAATACTTTTATTATAAAACCATTTTAGAGACACTGAAAATATTATATCTACTCCTTCAGCTATGGGACATGGTGTGATGGTGTCAACAGTCTCATGACTTCTGGGAGACTAACATTAAAAACATCAAGCAAAGACTGCTCTGAGGAAGGAGTTATCAGATATCTCCATATCACACCGAGACCAAGATTTGGATGAAATGAAAGAAAAAATGTTTCTTTTAAAAGACATTCATTAAAATTCTTTAAAACTTTCGATACCTATCTTGGGAGTGGGTATGATGATAAGACAGTCGGTAGAGGAGAGCAAGGAGGAAATGAATCCACATTTGAGTAATCCTTGCACTCTAGGCATGGTGTTAAGAGACTGATGCAAAAATGTTAAGACAATACTATCTCCATTTTATAGATGAGAAAAGAAGGGGGAGTACTGTCAGTTACTTATTAAACATCTAAAAGCAGGAAGCAGCTTTTAAAATTAAAAGCTATTAATAGTAAGTGTGTTAGTGAAGCAGTTTCATCAACATAATGTGTTCATTTGCAAGATGGACTGTATCAGTGGGAGCTTAATGCTTAATGTTTCTTGTGATGTGGGGAGAGCAGAGGGAACACACCCCTGTGGGCCCTCTGACAGCTCCAGTGCCCCCTGCACCACACAGGCACACACCCAAAGTTACAGTGTGCCGCTGTCAGGACCCACTGTTTCGCAATCAGAGCCCCTCCGCAGAAATGTCGTCCTTGGTGCTGCAGGCTGACGAGCCAGGGCCACGACATGGCAGGTGCGGCATGGCCACCAACCACCCTAGGCTCCCCAAGCTTGGCTGGCAGCACATTTGTGTTTCTCTCAGACCTTTCTACTAGAAATGGGTCAACAACTGGAATTCCACATCTGTCTTGGGTTGGCAGTCTTCCTGTATTGTTTTCTACTGTTATCCCTTAGAAAAGTAACAACAAAACATTAGATAGAAATACTTAGGAAAGTCTATTAAAATCTCAGAATGGAGGTGTTTATTTCTTTTCTAGGTTCAAAACTAGGATTCTTAGCAAAAGATGAGACATCTTTTCTTCCATTGCTTTAAAATAAGCAAAAAATCAATAAAGCTAACTAAAGGATTAATTTACATATGTTTAGACAAATAAGAACATAAATTACTTTTTAAAAAATAAATATTTCACTCAATCATGAAATGACTAGACAATTGTTCTTGCTGTGGTATTATTTGTGTTATCCCAGTATAACATATCTAGACATATCAAAATACTTTATACTACACGTATTCAAGATACAATGTATATATAAAGAAAAAGCATAAAGAAAATTTCTAGCAATGTGTTTACTCCATTCTCAGATTTAAAAAGGAATCCACTAGGAAACAAAAACAAGAGATTTATTTCCTTAAATATGAAGAAAATTAAGCTTCTCTATAGCCATATAATTTGGGAATTATAAAATATGCTCATTTGTTCAATTCTCTACTTGAGATTTCTTTTTTATATCAGAAATCTATTTTTAAAAAAGGTTTCTAGCACAGTGGATTTGTGTTCTTTTATCCAATACTTATATTAAAACTGATTTCTACTTTTTCTTCAGATATGTATAAAATATGGATTCCCTCCTTTTAAATACATATACCAAAAAATATGCAAACTTCAAAATTAAGACTCTCCTAGATCTTAGAAAACCCACAAAAGGTAATTATTCAAACATATTTTTAGTACATTAAGGTTTACTGCATTACTGTGTATTTTTGCTGCATTTGTAATCCACATTATATGTGGTAAGTCTTAGACTTTTGAGCTGTTTGTATGCATGTATAACAGCAACACTTTATTAGTATTCAATTTACTTAAAAAAAGAAATGAGGCAGCATAAGTATTTTTACTATGAGATGGAAGGGTCAATTTAGAGATGTAGAGATGGAAAGATAAAAGCAATGGTGAGAGAAGAAGAGTCAATTAGGTGAACATCCCTTAGACAATTAACAGTCACACCTAACGATGTGGTTCATTGGTCTATGGCTCAAAGCAAGGACTCTTCAGAGAGCCCCTTCACTCCCCCATCTTAAGAAAGACAAAGTGACATCAAAAAGAACTTTGCATTCCATGTTGATTATTAGAATTCTTCCTAGAATTACACTCCAATCAAGAGAATCTCCTAATAACAGACTCATTAGGTTTTTTAATCTTAAACACAACTAATGAAATTCTGGCTTAAAAGTAGATTCGATAAGTAGAAAAATCATTACATATGTTTCTATTTTATGCAGGGAAGTTAGTATGTGTTCAGTTAAAATATTCTTTTTGGGGGGATCTTTATGGGGGTAAGGGGGTGGTTACTTAATAAAAGAGGTGCGGTAACAGAGACTGGAAACATGCTGAACTCTATCTTTGTTTTTAGCCTGAATGTCCCCACTGGGTTTTTGTTTTTTATTTTTGTGAGGAAGATGGGCCCTGAGCTAACATCTGCCAATCCTCCTCTTGGTTTTTGCTGAGGAAGACTGGCCCTGGGCTAACATCCATGCCCATCTTCCTCCACTTTATATGGGACGCCGCCACAGCATGGCTTGCCAAGCGGTGCGTCGGTGCGCCAGGGATCTGAACCAGCTCTCCCTGGGCCACCGCAGTGGAGCTTGTGCACTTCACCGCTTGTGCCACTGGGCCAGCCCCTACACTGGGTTTTTAAAATAGCAACTGACTGATTTTTATAGTTATGATTATTTCTTAAATAATAATAACACACATACACATATAGACAGAGACACACAGACAGACACACACCCCGATTAACTTTATTACCTCACATGATCCATCTGAATTACCAAAGTCTTATGCCTTAAGGAATGGTTTGAGGTGAAGTTATCCTGTTTTCAGTATTAGAGCAGGGTGACCACCAGTGACCCTTAAACCAGCAGTCCCAGCTTCTACTCTAAGGCATATGTGGTGGTACCTGCTTTAATAAATATTTTTAAACAATTACTTACCATTGATAGGCAGTTGGGTCCCAATATTGCTTCCTTGTGATTGCTTCTGAATCATATCTTCCAAAATAAGTTTAAAACCTCTTTCTACCACAGACTCATCAGTCTTAAAATTCACAGTAAGGTAAGCACCATTGGATATCAAGACAAATTCTTTCTTGGAGCCACATAAATGAGCTGCAATGTGAGATTCACTCAATTATTAAAATACTCCTTTTATGCAATAACATAGGTAAAACAGGACAAAGAGGGGACGTTAAATTCCAAACTGTTAATATTGACAAAGAAATAATTATCAATAATGTAAGATCGAGATTTGTGGGATAGAATTCGTGATTTGATTGCAGCAATGGAAGGGTATAGATTTTAAAAGATCAAAGGGAAAAGAATGAGCTAGCAATTGATAAGAAAATACTACACAGAAGAGGAAGATGGCGGCGTAAGCAGACTCTGAACTCACCTCCTCCCGTGGACACAGCCAATTTACAACTACTCGTGGAAAAATTACCCCTGAGACAGAATTGAAAACTGGATAAGAGGAACTCCTGCAACAACGGACAATCCTAACTGAGGTGGAAGAGGCAGAGACTCCCTTCTGGAGAGGAAAAACGCCGCCTTCACAAGCCGCCAGCTTCACGGCCGCCGGGAGCAGCTCACAGGTACGCAGCCTCCCTGGAGGCGCGGGGCCCTGAGCCGGGGAGCGCCCCCGCTGTGGGCATTTTGTGGACCCAGCACAATCGACACCAGTGGCATAATATCTGACTGTGCCTGCTACTAAAGCATTGGGGAGCACCCCCAGAAAACCCGGTTCACAAAGAAACTAAAACTGGCTCTTAAAGGGCCCGGCGCAAACTCACCCGTTCCAGAAAGCATCCTAAAATCACCAGAAAGAAAGGTGCACAGTGCTGTGGTGAAAAGAGACTCACCTAATAGGCTCTGAGTGCATCTCGGTGAGAGGTGAGACCTCTCCAGGGACTGGGACATTGGCGGTGGCCATTGTTGTGGCCTGGTGTGGGCGTGCTGACACAGACGCCATTGGAGTTCTCCCTGAGGCCTGCTAGCCCAGGGTCTGCCCCACCCGCTAGAGCACCGATTTAATCCAGCTCAGCCAGGGCAGGCAGCCCACACTAGAGACTGGCCCCACCCAACAACAAGCCCTCAGGCAACTTGTGGGCCTGCATAGATTGGTGACTGGATTCTCTGCAACCTGGCAACTGAGCCGAATTTAGCGGGGCAGGGTGTTCACAAGGAGTGGGTGGAGACATCGGTCTTAGCAACATCTTTTCAAACACCACGTCTGACCGGGCAAGAAAAACAATAGAAAAAATAAACAAATGGGACTACATCAAACTAAAAAGCTTCTGCACAGCAAAGGAAACCATCAACAAAACGAAAAGACAACCTAACAATTGGGAGAAGATATTTGCAAACCATACATCTGATAAGGGCTTAATCTCCAAAATATGTAAAGAACTCATGCATCTCAACAACATAAAAACTACCAACCCAATTAAAAAATGGGCAAAAGACCTGAACAGACATTTCTCCAAAGAAGATATACAGATGGCCAAAAGAGACATGAAAAGATGTTCAAAATCACTATCAGGGAAACGCAAATCAAAACTACAATGAGATATCACCTCACGCCTGTCAGAATGGCTATAATTAACAAGACAGGAAACAACATGAGTTGGAGAGGATGTGGAGAGAAGGGAACTCTCATACACTGCTGGTGGGAGTGGAAACTGGTGCAGCCACTATGGAAGACAGTATGGAGATTCCTCAAAAAATCAAGGATAGAACTACCATATGATCCAGCTATTCCACTGTTGGGTATTTATCCAAAGAACTTGAAAACAACAATTTGTAAAGGTACATGCACCCCTGTGTTCATTGCAGCGTTATTCACAATAGCCAGGACTTGGAAGCAACCTAAGTGCCCATCAAGGGACGAATGGATAAAGAAGATGTGGTATATATACACAATGGAATACTACTCAGCCATAAGAAACGATGAAATCCAGCCATTTGTGACAACATGGATGGACACTGAGGGTATTATGCAAAGTGAAATAAGTCAGAGGAAGAAGGTCAAATACCATATGATTTCCTTCATTAAGTAGTAGATAATAACAACAATAAACAAATACATAGGGACAAAGATTGGATTGGTGGTTACCAGAGGGGAAGGGGGGAGGGAGGAGGGTGAAAGGGATAATTCGGTACATGTGTGTGGTGATGGGTTGTAATTAGTATTTTGGTCATGAATATGATGTAATCTATGCAGAAATAGAAGTATAATGCTGTACACTTGAAATTTTTACAATGTTATAAACCAATGTTACTGCAATAAAAAATTTAAAAAAATAAAGAAAATAAAATAAAGAAAAAAGAAAATAATACACAATTGTATGGCAATCTGTGATCATAAGGATGGGAAAAGAGGCATTTTGGTGAAGATAAATGGACAGAGAAACAAAGTAATAGCATAGTGTTATGGACTGAAGGTTTGTGTCCCCCAAAATTCATATGTTGAAATCCTAGTCCCCAAAGTGATGGTATTAGGACGTGAGGCCTTTGGGATGTGATTAATTCACGAAGATGGAGCCCTCGTGAATGGGATTAGTGCTCTTATAAAAGAGACCCCAGAGAGCTCTCTAGCCCCTTTTTCGCCGTGTGAGGACAGAACAAGAACATGGCTATGAGCCAGGAAGTGGGCCCTCACCAGACACCAAATCTTGGACTTCTCAGCCTCCAGAACTGTGAGAAATAAATGTTTGTTGTTCAAGCCACCCAGTCTATGGTATTTCTGTTATAGCTGCCCAAAGTGACTAAGACACATAGGCTGCCCAAATACAGACTAATGGTGATCCTTTCCTAATTCAGAAACACAAAAGCTGGCACAAAGGTGGTCCTGATAATGATAA